TAGGGCTCGCATGTGGCCGCCGAACAGGGAAAACGTCCTTGGCGTCAGTGTTTGGCTCCGCTCGTGCGCGGCTCGGCAAGGGAGTGATGGCCTGGACGGCAGGCCAAGGAACTAGCCAGGGGTGCGCCGTCATCTTTCAGGCGACTCGTCGCGTTGCTATATCCTCCTAGAGAGGATTGGGGGAATAGTCAGTGCGTCCTCGTTCGAGCTCGAATTGGTCGATTCGCTGGCTCCTGACTTGTCGTAGTGCTGGATCCATAATACATCCTCCTCACATCTTACGTTAGCCAGACTTTGAGCGGGGCCCGCAGCGTCGTGCAAAATGAATTAGTTGTCTGGGCAGACGTGAGAGCCCCTAGATGAACCACATACAACCCAGAATAACCTGGTGCAACAGAGCGCCGACAGGTGAGCAGAGAGATGGAACAAACTGCAAAGAGGCGAGGCTCACAAGGGAGCCTAGCTAGGATGCCCTGACCGAGTAGGCACACTCAATGTTAACCCCACCCACCTTCCCCTCTCCCTCGTCCTCTTGTCGTTACCCTCTCCTCCGCACGGCGCCTCGTACTTGGCCTTCGGGGAGTTGTGGTCACGCCAGTCGCGAGACGTCGCCTGGGGAGGCCACTGCGCGGGGGGTGCTTACGAAGAGGGGGCGGGGAATGGGGGTGGAAAAGTGGCGCGCGCACACACACCAGCATCGACACCGTAATTCGAAAGTTCCAAAACCTGTACGACCACATTTCGGGTAATGAGGAGGGCGTGGAGGGGAACCAACTGATGACAACCTGCGCTGATTGTGATGGTGATGATGCTGGCGATGCGCTCGCGAGCTGGTGACGATGCATGATGACGATGCTGGTGACGAGGCGTGATGGCGATTCTGATAGTGACGATGCATGGCGATTGTGATGATGGCGCCTCGCCCGCGCGCACGGCACAAACATCGGGACACCATCGGGACACCATCGGGGCACCATCGAGGCACCATCGGGACTCCACCGGGACACAATTGGGACACCACCGGGGCACCATAGCGACACCATCGGAGCACCATCGGGACATCATCGAGACACCATCGGGAGACCATCTGGACATTATTAAATAGTATACCATCAGGATACCATCGGGAAACCCCCAGGGCTCCTCCAGCCAACTGGTGGGAGGGCACACCATCATTTGGCCAAGGGTTCGCCCTACAATGCGACACCATCGGGACACCACCGGGACACCCCCGCGCAACCAGCGGCCATCTGGAGGGAGGGCACAGCCTCAATTGGCCCGGTTTCGTCCTATCAACGGCGGGTTAACCCCTCTCGCCTGCGCACTCACCTTCGCCTCGCCCGCACGCACGCACGACACCAACAAAGAACCGAAACCGACTTCCTGGTGTGGGGGTATCCGTTTCATGTAGGCCTCAACCCCCATCTTTAGAATTTCCAATATTTCACGCACTCTCCTCTTCTCCTCAATCTCCCATATGCTCGCAGATGTCAATGGGAATCAGCGGTTGACTATGGTCGAGAGGAAACGAGCGGGAGGAAGAGAAGGGAAGCGGAGGAGGGGGACATGAACTCGTGAGGTATGTGGGGGGAGAGGGAAGGGAAAGGGATGGCAGGGGGGAGGATGAGAGCAGAGAGAGAGAGAGGGATAGAGAGAGACAGAGGGAGACAGAGCAAGAAAAAGAGAGAGAGAGAGGGATCCGTCCGCCACCGTGCCAGCACGGAGTGGTCGTGTTAGACCCTGGGCCGAAACGGGAACGGAACAAGCGCCTCAAGGACTTACCCGAGGAGGGCTCGAGGCACCGTCCGCTCTCGAGAGCGCTGGCGCTGAGAGCTTGTGCACGTCATCGCTCACTTCTGGGAGCACGGGCGTGAAGAGATCTCAACGTCGCCTTTTGCTCTTGGGAGCCTCGGTGTGAAGAGTTGTTTACGTCACCGCTCGCTCTTGGAAGCCTCGGAGTTGAAAGCTGCTTACGTCACCGTTCGCTCTTGGGAGCCTTAGCGTTAAGAGCTGTGTAGGTCACCGCTTGCTCCTGGGAGCCTTGGCGTTGGGAGCCTGCCGCGACACTGCACGCTCTTGAGGCCCTTGGCGTTCAAAGCTTTCTACGTCACCGACTCGTTTGAAAAGGGCTTCCCAGGTCGTCACCTGGTGTTCTTCAGGCCGTGTTAGGCTGCCCTGGGGGCAACCTTAGACTGTCTTGGGAGCCTTGGCGTCAAAACTCCATTCGTTACTGGGCCTTCTGGGCGGGGGGTCATCCGGGGGCCCTGCTGGGTGTCTTGGGACCCTCTTGGGGCTCTCTTGGCGGCCTCTTGGAGCGCTCGTGGGCCCGGGCCGTCTTGTGGCTCTCTGAGGCTGTCATGGGGCCTTCTTGGGGACCTCTTGGGAGCCTCCTGGCCCGTCTCGGAACAATCACGGAGGCCCTCAGATCCGTCTTCGGCCGGTCTGGGCACGAAACGGCGAGAACCCCAAACACTGATATCCTGGCGACGGACCCAACCATATGCAGTTGTGAGTACCGTCGTTGCGGGTATCGCCTTCGGGAGATCTTCCCATGGGGCCATGAAGCGTGCGAAGGATGTGCCGATAGGAGGCGGGGTCGCCATTTGGGGGCTGACCGTGGGGCTTTTAAAGGGGACCCCTGCGGGGCCACGAAGCGCTGTGCTGGGTGGCGCGGGCGCAGTGTTGAGCCTCGGCCTGAAGAGACAGCGCCCCGCGATCTCTTTGCCAGCTTCCTCCTCGCCCTCCCCCTCCTCCAACCATCTCCATCCTCGTCCTCATCCTAATCATCGTCATCGTTATCATAATGGTCATCGACACAACCACCACCAGCAGTAGCATCATCATCAGCAGCAGCATCACCATCAGCATTATCACCATCATAATAATAATCATGGTAAACATAAGCATGCAACACAGTCTGATAACACTCAGCAGCAATCGCAGCCGCAACATCATCACCATCATCATCATCATCACCAATCTCACCATTCGCATCAACATCATTGCCACCATCAGCATCGACATCGTCATCATAATCACCATCACCATCATCAGCATCATCAGCATCACCAACATGAACGTCATCATCATCAGCATCATCATCAGCATCGTCATATTCGTCAGCATCTTCAGCATCACCACAACCACCACCAGCATCAGCATCGCCATCGTCATCGTCATCATCAATATCACTACCAGCATCATCACCATCATCAGCATCATCAGCATCATCACCTGCATAATCATCGTATACAGCATCAACACCAGCACCACCATCATCACCATCATTATCAGCACCATCATCATCACCATGCTCATCACAAACATAATCATCATGAGCCTAATCATCAGCCTCATCAGCATCATCATCATCATCATCATCATCATCATCATCATCATTGCAATCGGATCGTCACAACCACCAACATCATCATCATCAGCATTAGCATCATCATTATCATTATCATCACCAACGTCATCACCATCATCTCCATCACCATCAAACAAATAATCATGACAAACATACTACAAATGCTACCCGCAATCAGCACTCGCAGCAGCAGCAGCAGCACCACCATCATCATCACTCGCACCAGCGTCATTGCCACCATTAGCATCGTCATCGTCATCAACGTCACCTTCATCAGTATCACCTACCACATCAGCATCATCGTCATCATCACTAGCATCACCGCCAACGCTCGTCATGGTCAGATCCTGCGCATCATGGCCGTCACCGTCCATCATCCTGCACCATGCCCTGAAGGCTTCGGTGGAACGCCGTAAGGCACAGCCGTCATGGGCGGGGGAGGCGCCCAGGGGGCGAAGGTGATGATGTTGATGATGGCGAAGGTGAAAATGTTGATGCTCGTCACGGTCCACGGCATCCCCCTCCCACGTTTCGTGACCCCCGGTGTGCCGTCATGGCCGGGGGGCACACCCACCGGGACTCTCGGTGGAGCTCCCCCGTGTGGCCACGAAGCGCTGTACTGTGTGCGGGGCGCGCATGCGGCCTGCGGCCATGGAGGCTCCCGTGCCGGACTGGGCGGGGCGACGCCAGGCGGACGCGGCCGCTGGAGCCTTCCGTGGAGCTCTCCAGGGGCCACGGAACGTGTGAGGGGTGTGCCGCAACGGGCGCGGCGGCGCCATGCGAGCGCAACCACTTGAGGCCTCGGCGGAGCTCCCCGGGAGCTCCGAGACACGTGTGAGGGGTGTGTCCCGCAATGGGCGGGGCGGCGCCATGCGGACGCAACCACTTGAGGCCTCGGTGGAGCGAGCTCCCCGGGGACCGAGACACGCGTGGAGGGTGTGCCGTAATGGGCGGGGCGACGCCGTCCGGACGCGGCCACTGGGGCCCTCGGTGGAGCTCCCTGGGGGCCACGAAACGTGGGAGGGGGATGCCGTAATGGGCGGGGCGACGCCATGCGGACTCGGCCACTGGGGCCCTCGGTGGAGCTCCCTGAAGGCCACGATCCTCGTGACGGGCTTGCCGAAAGGAATGCAGCAAAAGCCGCATGAACGGCAGCGATGGGAGGAGGGAAGAGGAAGAAGATGAGGAACGAGGAGCAACGAGGAGGAAGAGGAGGAGATGGAAAGGGGACGAGGGGGGACAAGGTGGACGAGGAGAGGAGGAGGAGGAGGAGGAGAAGCATGAGCGGGAGCGAGGAGATCAGGTGAGGACGCGGGGCGCTGCGTATTCGAAACAAGGACCCAACAAACAGGAGGTAGATCTATGTATTTATGTGAATGCATGTTTATATACATAGAACAAGAGAGATATGCATATATATACATATACATATATACATATATATATATGTACACATGCGTGTATATGTATAGACAGAGAGAGACAACGAGAGAGAGAGAGAGAGAGAGAGTGAGAAAAAAAAGAGAGACATATTGATGCAAAGAGGGATTCCGCAGCACGGCCTTGAGGCGCCTAACCACGGCCTCCAGCTCGGGCTCGTTCGTCCGAAGCACCTCCCAGAAGATCTCTTTCAGGAAACGGACGTCGCTGGCGACCTGTGCTTGTGTGTCTCTTTTAGTTATGTTCCCAAATCTCTGGCGATGTGCGTTTTCATATATACATAGATTTCGGCCATCTGGGGCCACGAAAAGATCTGGGCGAAAAACTACCCCTCGGGACCTCACCACGAATTGAAACAACCAGATCGGCAGATGTATCGCGCCCTCCTCTGGCAGCCTGGGCAAAGGGGGATCTGATACCCCAGGCCTCCGACGTCGTGGTGTTGTCAACGACATTGACGCCTGAGGTCTGGAATATTTCCGCGAGACCAGTTTCGCATCCTTGGTCAATTTGCGACAATCCTGGGGCGCGGGTGAGAGGTCCCCAGATACCGAAAACTGCCAAACAACTAGTTTTTTGTCAAAACAACTTTCTATAAAAGAAGACTCGATGCTCCCCAAACGATGCTTGCACTTAAGTTCACTTACTTCTCTTCCAAGGAGCTGGGCCAGTTGGCCGGATAGGCGGTTCCATGCTGGCCGTCGCCGCACTGTCGCCGCCTCGTCGCCGCCCGTCGTCATGGCTGGTTGGCCGGTCTGGTGGCTCCGTGCTGGCCGTCGCCGCAACGTCGTCGTCTCGTCGCCGCCCCGTCGCCGCGTCGTCGCCAGCCGCCGCCGCCATTGGATTGCACCACATCGGTTACACGAAAAAATTCGCGCCAGCGGCGCGCTTCTTGATCACTGTCATCATCATCATCATCATCACCAGCATCATCATCATGATCAGCCTCAGCATCACCATGATGATGATCATCATCACATCATGATGATCATGATCATGATCATGATCATGATCATGATCATGATCATCATCATCATCATCATCATCATCATCATCATCATCATCATCAGCATCATCATCATCATCATCATCATTCACACATATGCGTATAATCACGATTCATACACATATAAGTGTCTCTAAGTACAAAAATCAGTACATACATATGCTTATAGATGTATGTATTCACAATTATTGCTTGCACTACTGATGGAATCCTAGCGGATCTTGAAAGATTGTGCGAACATCGGCGGCGAATGTCGGTAGGCCGCCAGGTTCTTGGGTACCCGTTTCCCGGCTTCTGGGTTCCCGGTTGATGGATCCAGACCGATTTCGGTGGGCGGCGGGGTTCCTGGGATACCGGGTTTCCCGGTTCCTGGTCGATCCCCTTATCGATCGGTCTCACCATCGATCTCACTACCCACCTACCTTTCGATCGATCTCACAATCAGCTTTCCCAGTATAGATCGCACGAGCAATCTCACGATAGATCTCACCGTATCAACGCCACTATCGGTCTCACGATCGACCTTACAATCGTCGTCACCATCGATCTCACAACCAATCTCACGATCAACCGCACCATCGTTTACTATATTTGTATATATACATACATACACATGGTATATATGTTTATATATCACGAACTTTCAAAGTATCCACTGGTCGGGGTTTGTTTATGTTATATATATATATATGTATTGATGTATGTATGTATGTATATATATATATATATAGCAATGTACGTATTGTTTCATATGATGCACGACATGAGTAGCGTATCGTTTAATGCACAAACCGCACCAAACATTTTCCACGACATATATTGGACACCATAAACTGTACAGCGCCGATGAAACAACACACGTTCCAATATACATATGTATACATACATATATACTAGAACCACGCGCGCGCTTCGCGCGCGCTTAGGTTCTGTCGAGTCACAGACCCAGGAATCGTTGTGAGAAGAAATTGGTGACGCGAAGCGTCGTGGGGGCGTCCTTGGACGTCTGGGGTCTCCTGGGGCCTCTTGAGGGGCCTCCTGGGGGCCTCCTGGCGGCCTCTTGGGGCGGAAGGCTCGAGCTTGCGGTTCGTGGTCCCCCTCTGGGCCCCCTCTTGGGCCCGTCTTGGGGCCCTCTTGGGCCATCTTGGGCGCCTCTTGGGCCGTCTTGGGGCCCTCTTGGGCTGTCCTGGGGCCCTCTTGGAAGCTTCTTGGGCCGTCTTGGGGCGGTCTTGGGCGCCTCTTGGGCCGTCCTGTAACGTCGGAAAGCCCAAAAGGCGACTTTGTTGAAAATGTACGTTTTACGAAGGGAATGGGCCAATTTTGCGTCTAGGGGCCCTCTTGGGACGCATGTTGGAGGCTTCTTGGGGCCTCTTGGGGGCGTCCTTGGACGTCTGGGGTCTCCTGGGGCCTCTTGAGGGGCCTCCTGGGGGCCTCCTGGCGGCCTCTTGGGGCGGAAGGCTCGAGCTTGCGGTTCGTGGTCCCCCTCTGGGCCCCCTCTTGGGCCCGTCTTGGGGCCCTCTTGGGCCATCTTGGGCGCCTCTTGGGCCGTCTTGGGGCCCTCTTGGGCTGTCCTGGGGCCCTCTTGGAAGCTTCTTGGGCCGTCTTGGGGCGGTCTTGGGCGCCTCTTGGGCCGTCCTGTAACGTCGGAAAGCCCAAAAGGCGACTTTGTTGAAAATGTACGTTTTACGAAGGGAATGGGCCAATTTTTGCGTCTAGGGGCCCTCTTGGGACGCATGTTGGAGGCTTCTTGGGGCCTCTTGGGGGCGTCCTTGGACGTCTGGAGGCCATCTTCAGCATCTCGGAGCCCTCTTGGAGGCCTCTTGGAAGTTTCTTGGGCCGTCTTGGGCGCTCCTGGGGCCGTCTTGTCTGACCGGGGAGGCCTCCGGCAAGCCCCGACGAGCCTCCGGGCCTCCCAGAGCCCACATTTGCGGTCGGGGTCCCGGCCCCGGGCCCCCGGACCCGGTGCGCCGTTATATGTATACACGCGCTTATATTCACATGTTAATAAGCATATACATGGCACCACACAGTCTGCACAACATTGACTGCACCACAAAAGCTGTTCAACTGATCTGGCGCCACGTGAACAGCACCTCGTAAGTTGCACTCCTTATATTGCATAACGTATTTCATATTTTGAACCACGGAAATGACAAACGTATTTTGTATCACACATATCGAATCACAAAAAGTGCATCACGACGACTGCGCCACATCGATTGCGCAACGTAGCTAACAGAACATTGGTGATCACTCTTGGAAACAATCCGAAACAACCACCCCTCGGGGTTGGGTTTTCCCCCCCGGGGATGTGCAACTTGTATACGATTCCGCCGCATCGTTCGTGTCAACTACATACTCGTACCATCGACTTGCGGCCGGTATTGAATGGCCCTGTCATCCCTCGCGAACTGAATCACAAAGAAAACACGATGCCCACACAACTGGTAATCACAAGCCGGGAAATCCCGCAAACACGCTATAGCCCCACACGCTTGCGAAGTGACCTGTTTGAAAAAAATGCGCGCGAGATTTTGCGAATTCTTAATTCGTAAAGGACCCATAGATGTGTTTCAACGTTTTTCCATCTAGTGCGAACGAACGGGCCTCTCGCGCGCGCGTGTCACAATCATTCGAACGGCCATGGCGATCTATGTCAAAAACATCCTGCGGGCCAATCGCGCCCGTCGGCCGCGCGCGCATGTCGAAATCTTTATCAAACCTTCATCGCCGACGCGTCGGCACCAATACCGTAATCGGCGAAATCACAATCGGCGCCGTCATCGGCCTTGCCGTTGTCATCGTCATCGTCGTCAAAAACATCGCTACAATCATCACCATGATACCGCGCCCGCCCGAACCTCCGACTCCCACTGACCTGTCCGCGCGCCAGCGCGGCCTGCGAGACGCGCTGGGGAATCCGCAGCAGTCAGCGCCATTTCGGCCGCGTCGGTCGCGCCAAACTAGCTGGCCGCTCTGCGCGCGAGCCTGCGCGCGCTAGCGCCGTCGCAGCGAGGCGCCAGCCTGCGCCAAACAGCCATCACAATCGTTGCCGCATGGGTTTTCTGGGTGTTGCCATCAATTTTCGGGTGGGTGGATGGGTGGGCGAAATGACTGCGCCATCAGTGGGGTTGACAACATCACGTATGTCCCTATCCCCAAAGCATATATTGGGATCTACCCCCCTGGAATGAATGACTTCGTATTGCAATGTGCATGTGGCCCTGTCCCATATTCCATCCGGAATATGAATTTATACCATCGCAGGAAGGCCGGTGTCACCCCCCAAAACAAAACTATGCACGCGCACCCGTTCATTACAAATCCTTCGTTTTCAGAAATCCCCTGCAGGAGCGCAGTGCACACGCGCGCGTCGACGCGCGCATGCCAACGTCATCCGAAAACAATTGGTGTCGCACGGGTTTCAAAATCGAGCGCCCCGAAAATATGGAAAAAAACGCCTGGTTTCGCAACCGGGATATTCTAACAAAGCTTTCGCCCGCGCTCTAACGAATTCTTCAGAAAACCATGATGGGCCTACCGCGCGCATATCGAAATCGTTCGACGCCCCTGCGCGCGCGCTGTCGCAAGAACCACCCTGCAACAAACGTGGCGAAAACACCGTGGGTTTCGTCAGGGTTTCAAAATCGAGTGTCTCGAAAACGTACGGAGACACATGACTGCGCAACGCCAGTTCTCAGGAAAACACATGCGCATGCGCTTGTGAAAATTTTCTTATTTAAAGAAGCCATAATTCAACAAATTTACTCAACTCGTCCAACCGGGCCTCTCGTGCCGCATGTCGAAATCATTCGGCCGCCCACGGCGCGGGTGCTGGGAAACCACGATCCGTGTCAAATAAAACCGTGCGGGCCACTCTCGCGCGCCAGCCGCGCGCATCCGAATTCTTTCCAAAACCTTCATCACCGACGCGAGGACGCCGTCATCGTCGCCGGCGTGATCAGCATCAGCGCCGTCACTGGCCTTGCCGCCGTCGTCGTCATCATCGCTACTATCGTCCTCGTGTCGTGTCTACCGTTGTCGACGTTGCCATGATACCGCGCCTGCCCAAGTCGCCGACTCGCGCTGACGTGCCCGCTGGGAAGTACCCAGAGGTCAGCGCCATCGCGGCCGCGTCGGCCGCGTCGAACTAGCTGGCCGCTGCGCGCGAAAGCATGCGCGGACTGGCGCGGTCGCAGAGATGCACCAGCCAACACCGATCACCCATCGCAATCGCCGCCGCAAGGGCCAATGCAAACCAAGTTGCAGGTGGGTGGGTGGGATGACTGCGCGAGCAGTGAATCTGACACGTCACTGCAAACAGAAATAACACCACAGATATGGCACCATATAGTTTGCCCCGCCTAGAACACACAACAAATATTTCTAGAAACCCATTGTTCGGGGTCTACTCTGTCAAATCTATGTTCTACGGAACGAGTGGGTCGAACGCCAAGTCGAGAATCAGCCGGGAAATGTAATCTACCGTTGGCCCTCCTTGCCTGCTCTTGTCTCCAATTGTCGCTCGTTGCCTTCCATTCTCTCTCGTTGCCTCCCGTGGCCTCCCGTGGCCTCCCGTGGCATCGCCGCCCCTATACCTCGATCCCTGTCCCTATCCCTTTTTTATATCCCTATCCTGAGCCATATGTGCCTATCCACATCCCGATCCCTATATCCCTATCCCAAAACCCTACCCCTATATCCCGAGACCCTAGCCCTACGCCCCGATCCCTAGCCCTATTCACATCCTGATACCCCATCATGTTCCCCCATTGGCAGTTCGTGAGTCTGTTCAGGGCCTTCTGCTGCAATCGTGTCACTTCCCGACGAGCGGACGTCTGGGATGAGGGCTCTACAGTAAAACAACTGATAGTAAGGTTGCGCGATAAGGATGAAGGCCCCTTGGAAGCCCACGTCAAAGCTTGTCGGACGGGGCTGGCCATCGACAGTGGATCAGGATGGAGCGAAGAGGCAAGGATGCAAAGTCACCCTTGAGAAGGTTACACGTCGTTCATTTCTAATCATGCTCATTTCTAAGTGTGCTCTTTCTAGTTGTTCCTGGCCCCCAGGCCCAGGATCGAACAATTAGAAACGAAAGGATCTTGGCCTCCAAAAAAAAATCAAAGAACTCTCGGATACTTAAAAATGAACTCGACTCCGACTGTACGGAGCAGCGGCAGCAGCCACCGAGCATGCTCGCGCGTGGAGGTGCGAGCAGCGGCGACCGCAGCCACGCAGCCTCGACGTCCTCGCCTCCGGGGCCTCGCTGGTCCCTTGGCTCAGGTCGGGCCTGTCTCCCGACAGGGGGATCTTTACTCAGAACATGCCAACACAAATCTCAACAATAGTAAAAGCATCGTCCTTGGAGAGTTTTTTACTATTTTCGATGATTCCCCCTGTAGAGCGACACGCTCGACTTAAACTTGCTCTCGACGGCCATGCCCTTCTTGCCATGCTGTCGTTACCAGTGCTGCCCCCGCCTCCTTCGGACAGTCCAAATCCAATGTCGGGTTATCCAGTTCAGCCGCGCGTGGTTGTAGCTCTCCACTGAACTACGCTGTGATCCTCCTCTTCCTCGTCCCTGGTCGCCTTCCTTCCATCATGAAACAGTTTACCGACGATCGTCAACTTCTTTGCCGAATGATCCCCCAACCATCCAAATCATACATTGTAAGTGTGCCGAGCCTATATCAAGTAAGCCTCAAAGAACCAAAAATCTGGTTGCACGCGCACAATGATGCTGTCAACTCCACGACTCCATGGAACCAACTCTGCGAATCTCGTGCTCCGACTTGCCTGTTGCGTCATGTTCAGCTTCCGGCTACGCATGCGTTCCTGGAGGCGCTCCGACGAATTTCAAAAGCACAAGGTCACTTTTCCGCAGCATGTCTGTGTCATACGGTCCCACAGACCATCCCTTGTTTGGGGAGCCGCAGCACGAAAGGACCCCCTTTGTCCCGACTGCACGCGCAGCCCCCGAGATGCGCCCATAAGGGGGACAAGAAACGGCATGATCACATCACAAACCTTTTGGCACTTGGATCGGCGCTGGGCTCCCCCGGGCGCGCGGAGCGCGCCAGGGGCGGCGCCAGGGGCGGCGCCGTCAAGGGGGCCCAACGACGATTATCCGCGCGGGGCTCAGAAAGCTCATGCTTATGCAGCTGTTCCTGATGCCAGCCCTGCTCCCTCGCCGCACCCTCATCCTCCGTAGAGGCCTCCTGAACAGGGCCCGAGTAGATGGGGTCGGAGGATCACGCCGCACCCCCCAATACATTGGCGACGTCGGCGATGCATCGGCGCCGTCGGCGTGGAGAAGATCGGGCTCCGCATCGAGCCGCATCGGCGATGCGGCGCGATCCTCCGCTCCCGTCTTAAAACAGGGCCAAGATCGGGACAAATCGCTCCAGAGCGTTCCGGGGCGCTCTCAGAGCGTTCCGGGACGCTCTGGAGCGGCCGCGGCGCCCACTACATCCTCCAAACCCGCCGCTTCTCAGAGATTTCGAGTTATCCCGATCCGATTTTGTCCCGATCTTCGCGTCGTTTGAACCTGTCGGGGGGACGTAAGACCCGGGTACGGGGGACTCGGAAATCCCCGACGAGATCGTCAAAAAAATGACGAGGCCGAGCCTGCATTTTGACGAGGCCTCCCGCTGCAGACATCCCACGAAACTCCTCCTCGTCAAAATCCGAGTCGCGGTCGTCAAAAAACGATGGCGAACCCGAGTCCCGGCAAACCCGGGTCTTACGCTCCCCCGATTTTAACCTTGGAGGCCTAGGCACCCGCATCCTCCCCGCGGGAGCGCGGCGGGCGCGTGCACCGGCCTTCGAATACCCGAGGGGGTCTCGGCTCTCCGCCGGGGCCACGCTGAAGCACCTCGCCGAGGGCGGCCGCGGATTTCGGGAGAGGACTGAACATACTGGGAAATATGCCAACCATGCTCAAGCATAGTCAACACATCGCATGATTTAATCGATTGCTGAAGATCATTTTCCCAGATCTTCCAAATCTTGCTTTTGTTTTAAATCTCATTATGTTTGAATATCATTTTGAATCTGCTTATTTTCTGAAACTTATTATTTTTCGAATCTTGAATTTGATCAAGAAATCTCGAATAACCAAAACATTATTCCAACAATGCTCAAACGTACTCTTGGAATATTTTCGAATCTTACAGAGGAAAGAGAACTATGCACATGCACCGATCCTGGCCAGGCCCCTCCTGAGCCCAGGATCGGTGCACACGCCCTCCTGCCCTGGCCAGGAGGGCATGTGCACCGATCCTGGGTCAAGGATGGGCCTTGCCAGGATCGGTGCATGTGCATAGTTCTCTTCGCCCGATCTTTCGGGGATGGACAGGCCTCCCTTTAGTAAAACGTGGTTTATTGAAAACGACCTGAGGCCCAGACCTGGCGGGCGCAAACCTGGAAAATAACGGCCGCGGCGCCCTCTCGAGAACCGAAAACGGACAATTCACTAATCGACGTGTCACTATTGGGGGTTCTGTCCGCCCCCGAATCTTCCCCCTGCTTAGAGGGACGGGCTCCGACTTAACCCCAGCAAGGGCATCCCCGGCAGACGCGGGAGAGCGGTCCGCGCTCCGGTGGCCCGACCGCCCCCGCGTCGGGGGCAGATCCCTCCCCCCGCCCCTCGGGGATGTGATCTGCAGCACCTCCGCCTCCTCCGCCTCCTCCTCCTCCTCCTCCTCCTCTCCTCCTCCTCCTCCTCCTCCTCCTCCTCCTCCTCCCCCTCCTCCTCCTCCTCCTCCTCCTCCTCCTCCTCCTCTTCCTCCTCCCCCTCCGCCAGAAGGCACGCCTTTTCCTGCACTGCCCTTGCTCTCCTGTGCCGTGGCATGGACGTGCGCCTCCAGCCGCCGGCGCTTCCTCAGCCGATGTGTCGTGCAGACACAGCGCTGTTGATGGATTGATTGACTGATTGATGAGGGCCCTCGCCTGGCCCTGGGACTGTCGCAACAAGCCTCAGGGCGAAACGCCAGTGCCGGGGAGTGGGTCGAAAGCTCCGGGGGTCCGAGCTGCGAGAAAAACATGACGTCGGGGTCTGGGCCCCGCTTGCGATCGCGCGTTCCCTTCTGAGCCCGTTCGGCGTCCGAGCCCACTCAGCTGCCGAAGGGGCTGAAGATCGAGCCCGTTCGGCGGCCGAACGGGCTCAGTTTGTTCAACACTTCTGGGACTGAGCCCACTCGGCTGCCACTCGGCGGCCGAACGGGCAAAGACGCCGAACAAGTTCAGAAGGGACCCGTGGGGTTTGACTTGCATCAGCTAGGCACGAGCCGCTCCTCCAACCCGTCGCCGCCATTCTTGAACACTCTCTTCCCGAAGCTCCTCCTCTCCCGCATCGTCTCCTCATGTACCTGTTCCCATCCCCATTCCCCACCCTCCTCGACACACACACATATGACCTCAGATCGTGAGTTACATCTCTAGGTCATAATGCTCTCAGGTACACGGTTGGACATATGCTCAACTTTTTGTCTAGTGATATCCTTTGTTTGAGCGCTAGGAGAGCCAAGTCGTCAGTGGGCTCCATATTTAGTATTGAATCGCTACATGCTTAGAAGATCACTAGTTGGAACGTTCCTTTGAACATGGCGTCGATAGCTCGATGATTAGCTCGGTAGCGCGATCGTTCATTACAGAAGATCCGGCCAACTATCACCACGCCATCGCACACCGAAATCTGCACCCGTCTTCCAGAGCCTCATCAGAGGCCTTCGGCGGCCCCTACGGGTGGTAAGTGAAGCCATGTGCAAGAACCGACCGTTGGAACAACCCCTAAGCACAACAATGACACATCGGTAACAGCCACCTGCAGAAGCGGCCACACGACTCAGCCTACGTGCCCACACGAACGCATTGGGGTGGAGAGCAACCTAATCCCACCAACCTTCTAGGGATAAACAGTTCAGCACGCCTTCGAAACCGGCCACAACATCCCGCGGAGGGTGGCGCCCCTCCTCCTGTCCCCTCCCAGAGGTTCTGTCCTGCACCCCCCCCCTACCCAAGTCGCGAAGTCTGCCCATTGTTTCGTATTGCGCATCCTGGCCCCATGTTCGCCTTCTCACGGGTTTGCCTCCCGATGGGCCTTCGCTACCTCATGTCAAAGAATGATGCCGCCTAAGGGGGCAATGCGAGGCCCAAGAAAGAGAAGGCCCAGAAGTGGGCTCCCAAGAACAGCCCAAGGGACCCCAAGAAGGTTCATATCCATCTCAGAAGCCCTCGGATTGCCTCGAGACTATGATGTCGGGCCCCCTGGGTATCGGGCAACGCATGTCCGTGTCAGTGTCCCTTCTATGTTGGTCGATTGTCGTCGATTTGCACTAGCAGGTTCCAAAGAGGGCCCTACATATCCCCATGCTGTACCCGCACTCAGCCTTAGGAACAAAAAACTTGAAGAGAACCCAGTCGAGCCATTTGAACGGCGGATGCAAGATGCTAACATCACGCAGGACAGAAATACGCAGCAGAAGGCTAAATACAACTAGACGATGCCCCGACAAGCGCGGGCGGCTGAGGAGATGCGTAACGCTATCCAGACATAGGATGAGTCTGCCTACGACAAGCCTAGCTCAGCCCAGGCACGACAAGCTTAGCCAAGCTGGGCTAAACTAGATCCAATTCGGTGCTTTCTATCGCGGCTCACCCGGATTGCCCTCATCGTCCTCCCCCTCCACTTGCGTCTCCCCCGCCACGGCACCAGACCTGGCTCCCACATCACCAGATCCCTCAAGTGAACAAGCTCTCATATCACCAGATACCTCAGACTTCTAGCGCCAGTGCGAAGACGTGCGAGGCTGGACGAAGTTGAGCAAAGCTGGCCCAGGAATGAACGGGTACCCGCAAGTGCGCGCTGAGCTGAACTACGTTGAGTTACTGCGGATTTGACGGTGGCCCTGGCTGGGCACAGCTTGAATCGGCCGTGGCGCATGGAAGCTAAACAGTACGAGATCTGGCGTCGCGAGAAGCAAAACACTTCCAGAGGCCTGCGTGTGTGTAGCCGTTTGCTAGGTGCAACTGGCGTCCTCCCGCACGTCTGGCTTCACGACTTTGAGCAGGGACCGACCGTCCCGGCATTCCTATAGTCCTACCACGAAATGTTCTCAGAACCCCAAGATGCTCTAAGACCAGAAACAATGTTCTTAGAACATAAACCCGATGTGCCAAAACAAAATAGACACCGCCAGACATGTTCTAAGAACATTTCGTGGAAACCACAAACGGTTCTAAGAACACTGTTTGGTAGGGCTACAGGCACGCCAAGACACTTCGTCACTGCTTGACGACTGCTGCTCCACATCCCTCGGGACGATAACTCGCCTCCGTCTTATTTCCAGACGGGCTGGTGGGCGCACACGAAGCGTGAATCGCTATGCAAGCTCCGGCGGCAGAGGTGCATCCTGTGTTCCCGAGTCGCACCCAAAAGCTCGAACCGTCTATGGATCTCAGGAGCCCCTGTGAGTAACATCTGTGAAGGGGCCCTGGGGCACACAAATAAATTCACACAAATAAAACTATTCACCATATTTTCCCGTATTTTCTGGGTTTCTGTCGTCCCCCCCCACTGCCCATATTTTCCCATATTTTCCTGGGAGTCGACGATTAATTGTGTCTGTGTGTTTCTTCCCTCCTGAATCTGCTGGGCTTCAACATTTCTCCTCCATGTGCCCCTCCCCTCCTCCTCTGCCCGCTCTCTGGAGGAGGGGGAAGGGAAGAAAGGAGGAGCGGATTGAGTGGCTCCCCCGCCAGCACTACGGGCAGGGGCTTCCCAGAGCAAAGCACCGCCCAGTCGACTTGCTGGGGCCAGCAACCTGCAACGGCCCTGCAGGCTACGGCCAAGAATATTTGCTCCGAGCGTCGCGGCGGCGGCCCCAGCGACAAGCTATACCCTGAAAAAGTGGATATATAGTGTCCCGCGCCGCCCCGCGATGGGGAGGCTGGGAAACAGCTCGAGACATTAGGAGGCAACTACTGGGAAGTTTCGTCGGAAGGATTAAGGAGGATTAAGCCCTATTGGGGGGCTGTTACGCCAGAGTGGGCGCCTCGGATCGAATGAGATTGAGCCGGGTTAAGCGGGATTAAGCGGGATTAAACGGGATTCAGCGGGATTCGGCGAGATGAAGCCGGATTAGGCGGGATTTCGGACCAGGGCTAAATCAGACTTGGACCTCCCAGGAGTTGCATCCTGAGAGACACTGCCATTCGGGGACCGAGAACTGGGCAGCGAGTCGCAGCGAAGCGTGGTGGGCTCAGTGGGCCCCGGACACGGCAGGGCCGTTTTTTCACAATTTCCGAACAAATGTCCCTTGAAAATGGAAGCGGAGAAAAAACGGCGACCGGAAACGGCAACAAAAACGGCTCCAGGATTGGAACCGGAGCGGGAACCGGTAAAAGATCGGCGACGGAACCAGAAAAACAAGGCGTCGGAACCTGCAAAAAAAACGGCAAAACGTAACCGGTAAAAAAAACGGCCCTGTCGTTGCCAGGGCCCACTGAGGCGGAGCGACACGCCCGGCCAAAGGGAAGGACCGCACCAGCCTGCGCCCTCGACCCGCCGCCCCAACAACCGGGCGCCGAGGAGGGATCCGGGCCTGGTGCCTGCAGCAGGGTCATCGTGCTACCACTGGGGAGCGCCAAGCTGGATGGGGCCCACAACACACACGCAGATAAGTTCACACCCAGAACACGATTCCCAACATGTTCCCATATTTCCTGCTCTTTCGTCTCCCCCCCCCCACTTCCCATATCTTCCCATGTGTCCCCGGGAATCGACGGTTACTTTTGTCTGTGTTGTTGTTCCCCCTCCTGACAAGTAAGGCGTTATGTTGTTCCCATCGTTCTTAAGGAACACACCCCAGAAATAATTTCGAGCACCCGGAAAAGTGTCGAAAGAGTATCGGAAGAGTGTCGAAACAGTGTCGGGCGAGTGTCTCTCAGGGCCCGACACGTGAAAACCCTCGCGTTTTGGGGTACTTTTCTGGGCACTCTAAATTCTTTCTGGTGACCAAGGCTAAAGTAGGCAGGATCATCATAAAAGTATGAAGGGGCCCTGGGACACACAAAGGAAAAAAACACACACAAAGAACAGGATCCCCCACAGTTTCCCCATACTTTCTTGGTCTTTGTCTTCCCCCAGTTCCCATCTGTTTCCATATGTTCGGGGGAATCGACGACTACTTGTGTCTGTGTGTTTGTGTGGTCCCCCCCCACTTCCCATGTTCCCCCATGCTTCCTGTGGACAAGCGACGACTGCTCGTGCCTGTGTGTGTGTTGTGCTCCTCCTCCCGGCAGGTCCGGAGTGCCCGGCGGTGCCCGGCCACGGCCACGGCCACGGCCACGAGCCCGGGGGCCCCGACCCGGCCCGATGGCGCGGAGCCGCCGGCCCGAGCCCCCTCCCGAGCCCAGACCAGGAGAGCCCAGAATCGCATCGACGGAGCGGCGATCGACGGGAATCGGATCGGCAGAGATCAGCGGCCGGGTCGGGAGAAGTCGGAGCGGCGGAAATCGGCAGGCTGATAATGATAGGTCCCCATCGGGGCACCGGAATCCAGATCGGAAGCCGAAGTCGAATCGAATCGGAATCGGAGGCCATCGAGATCAAATCGAATCTAATCGGAGGAATCGAAATGAGCCCTGCCAGACGAGGTCCGCATCTCTCCGGGCCTCTGCCAAACTCACGTCGGGCCTGTCCCCAATACAGGAGGATTCTCGACGAAAAATCAAAAATACCCCACAAACAAATACACTAAAAATGCCCAACAGTGGTAACAAAAATAGTCCCCAGACTATTTTTGTCAATTTCTGAATATTCCGAAAATGCCCAACAATGGTAGAAAAATAGTCCCCAGACTATTGTTGACTATTTTTGAACATTCCGGAGATAGGGACCCAGGACACACAGACAGGGTAACCGAGGGCCTAGAGCAAAAAATTGCAGTGCCGCAGCCGAAGATGTGCAACGCAGCCAGCATGCGGAAGGTGCTGCATCGAACGCGAACGCAACAACAATAACTGCTCTGCAACACAAGGGCCATTTGATGCCTCGAACCAGCCGCTTCCTGTTACCCCGTCTGCTGTTACCCCGTCTCTGGCTCCCTGAAAACTTACACGTCGTTCATTTCTAATCGTGCTCATTTCAAAATTGTGGGCGTTTCTAGTTGTTCCTGGCCCCCTGGTGGCCAGGAAGAGGCTCAGGATATAATAGTTAGAAAGTACAGGATCTCAGCCCCAACAAAAATCAAAGAACTTTCGGAGACTTAGAAACTAACCATGTGTATATCTGGGTCTCTACTAACTGTCAACATCGGCCGCTCCCACCAGTAACGGGCCGCACCGACGTCGGCACAATCAGCAAACACGTACGCACGCACTCGAAGATGTTGTGTTTGTGTTTTTGTGTGTTCGGTCATCCTCCTGTCTTTGCGTGGTCGCAACGGCATATTCTCGCATGCGCACGTGCGTTCTAGCGCTTTTTTTTTCCGGCACGCGACTGCCACTATCCGATCCATGTATCTGTTACGCCACGTGGACAATCGCCTAAGCGTGACCCGCTTTAGCGCTTCGCGATTGTTGTCGTCACCTCGCCGCTGGAGGGAACAAGTGTGTGTGTGCCCCCCCTTTCCCATCTCCTATCATCTCGCGACTGCCACCTCGCATGCTGCGTGAGATGGTTCGCTTGACGTGACCTACGCTGCGCCGCCGCGCGAATGGCCGCGACACGACAGAAGGTGTGCGTGTGTGTGTGCTTCGCCGCCTCGACGCTGCGAGCGAGGCCGCGACCGCCGTGTGTGTGTCTGTGTGTGTGGCTTGGGGCATCGAGCCAGGCTCGCCGAGGCTCTCAACAAACTGGCAGTGAGCTCCGACGACCAGCTCGGGGGACAGAGTCTCTGAATTCCGGGAGCGGCCAAGAGGGGGGTGTCCAAGAGGGGGGGGTGCAAATCATGACCGGCGGCATGTGCGCGGCCCAGCGGGGGGGCCAGGGACGTAATGAAATAAGAAGGGGCGCCACGAAATCTGGGGAAATATCATGGCCCCCGCCATAATATCCACCCCCCCTAGTCATCACCCCCCTCTTTTCCGCCCCCGAGAATTGGCCAGCCTGGCATACCAGCAGCACTTCGCTGGGGTTGCGGCCCTCGCGCCAGGGCCGGGACGCGCACAGCGACGCTAGCGGTGCGGGCGCGCCCGCTCCGAGCTCGGCTTCGCGCTCGCGGCTGCCTCGCTCACGCCCCAGAGGCTTGTGATGAAGAACGCGGCGGCGTCAACGTTCGGCCCCTGGCTCCTTCAACGGCTTGGCTCGGCTGTGCCTGCTCGCACTTCGTCTCCCCAACCCACGCTCCCAAACGTGGCGGCTGACCCGCTCTCCCACCACGACCGCAATTCTGACAACGACAGGGCCTGGAACGATGGGACTGCAACCGCCTGAGTGCAGTCAGTCGAGGGATGATTTCATCTGTGGGAAAGCGGCGGATCACAAGGCTACGACGAGAGTTTCGGAAACCCTGGATCCAAAAAGCATGTAATCTCTTTGGGGCGCATCTTTTACTTCCGCCGGCTTCCGACGGCCTTTTGCCAGACGTCCTCGGTTTATCTCCGCCGACCTCCGCCGACCTTCCGCCACCCTCCGCCGAGGAAGGGATGCCATAGGGGGCCACACGCGAACCCTACCCCTACCCCCCACAACTTCTGAGGGGTGGGGTGGGGTTCACTTCGCTCGGGAGCTCCCGAGCGAATGTGAACCCCACCCTCCCCCTCAGAAATCAGGGGGGGTAGGGGTAGGGTTCGCGTGTGGCCCCCTATGCCAACTCCTTCGAGCCTCGTCCTCGTCGTCGTCGTCGTCGTCAGATCCCACCGCGCCTCGACAGCGCCGCCGCGTAGCACTGCGCTGGCCGCTTCAGCGGCGCGCCGGCGGGCAGGCGCAGGGAGGCGGAGCGGGCGACGTAGAGCATGATCCTGCCGGCGGGAGAACTTAGAGGAGACGCACAGAGACATACTAATACTATATGCCCGCCTCGGAGGCGCGCGTCCGACCCGAACAGATCGTATAGCCATCTTGTAGAGCATCGTTTCTCGAGCGGCGTGGCCAGAAAGCGCCCGCCACGACGCAGATACTGTAAGACTTCTCGGTGCGCGCGTCGCCCCTGCGGGGGGGCGACGAACACATAGTATAAGTACACCCTGCGAAATGCTTTAGAAATCATGGGTTAAGAAATTCATAGTCTCAGAATGTGAATAAAAACCCAGCATGTCTATTCAAATCTTAGGATTTACATTGAAACATTAAGAATAATCGAGACTCTGGCCGAAAACTTACGTTTTCTTAAGCATCGCCCAGGGTGTAGTATAAGTACGTTAGTGGGACGCCGATCAGGAGGAGCCGTGCGGCAGGTTCGCGAGCGGTACAGCCCAGACGCTGAGATAAGGAACAATTCTCGGGTTCGGAGGGGGCTCGACGCTCCTCGGGCTCCTCCGGTGCTGCTCCTCTTGCCCTCCTGGGGGGGGGCAGGGAGGCGCTCACAGGGCCCAGGAGGGGCTTCGTTCCTTATCTAGTGCTCCTTCTTTCAGCGGCCCGACTGCCCGGGCCCTTGCCGTAGCAGATCTTGGGGCACCTGCTGCGTCGATCCGAAGCCTCGTCGGGTGCTCTACGGTACCGGTGCGTGTCCATGGGGCCACCGAGGAGTGGGAAGCTTCGGTGGGGCAGCTGGTGGCAAGAAGACCCTTTCTTAGCGTATGACTCGCCGTGCTCCTGTGGGAGCAGGAGCAACGGGAAGCGGACATCCCAGCGACCACACAACGATGTGGACACTGCGCGGACATTTTTGAAACTGTCCCCCAGGGCGCGCATAACAAAGCGTGCGAAACTGGCACGAGATAGGGTGGGCAGCGCGGTTGCCAACATCTGCCTGGGAGGAGGAATGAAGAGAAGAACTTCACATGACTCGCCGTGATGGGTGAAAGGGGACGGACACAATAGCGATCTGAGGATCAATGACCACTCGGTAGTTCGTGGCCGCGGCCTCCTGGGCCGTCGCACCTCTCGCCTCAAACATTGGACCTCAAACGTCGGCTCGCGCCACGTGGCCTGGATGCAGAATGCGATTTCAGATCCGGCTCATGGAATTCCGATCACCTTGACAACCGGTTGTGGACGAATGCTGCCGATCTTACTCAAACTCTGAGGAGTCCTGATTCGACCAACTATCGTTAGGTCGGGCATGGAGGATGTTGGAAGAAATTTGAGCTAGTCAAAAATATGCCATAATAATGAAATAAAGCAACATGTTATATGAGAGCAGCCCCAATCATACTACGTTTTGGGGTTATGGGGCTATAGGACTATACGGCTCTAGGGCTATGTGCTATAGGGCTACAGGGCTACAGGGCTATAGGGCTCTGGGGCTCTAGGGCTCTGGGGCTCTGGGGCTATAGGGCTAGGGCTATGGGCGTTATGGCTATAGGGCTATAGCGCTATAGGGCTGTAGGGATATAGGGCTATAGGGCTATGTGGCTACAGGGCTCTGGGGCTCTAGGGCTATAGGGCTATATAAGGCTATGGGGCTATATGGCTATGGGGTTATGGGCTATGGGGCGGTGAGGCTATGGGGCTATGAAACTATAGGGCTATAGGGCTATAAAGCTGTAAGGCACCCGGGCACCTGGGCAACCGGGCACCCGGCCGCGGAAATCGGCGGCGCACCTCACCCGGGCACCAGGGCACCCGGGCGTGCCGCCGAAGTCGGCGGCGCACCTAACCCAACCATATGAATCAGCTGGGACCCCCAAAGAGGCAAGCTCTGATTGCGGAAAATCGCACCCATGTCATTTTTGTGAATACTCCTCCTGTCTAGGGACATGCCAGACTTAAGCTAGCGCTCCCGGCTTGGGGCGTTTAGCACGCGGGGCTCAAGAGGACGATCACAGGTGGCTCGTGGCCCGCAGACTCGGGGAGGGCCTCAAAACTCGCAGGAAGAGGCACGAGCGGGCAGAATCCGCGAGCGCTGCTCTGAGACACCCGAGACGAAGGAACGGTTCGTCTGGCAACTTGAGGGGCCATGAAGAGCAACGACCCGTACGGCGCTGTCCGTGTGTGCGTGAGACTTTCGTCGCTGCGTCGCCTCGGAGCCCACGACTCAGTGCAGGCTCGGTATGCCGAGAATGCCTGGCGAAAGTGGCAACTTGTGAGCGATAATGCTTAAGCCAGAATAACATGACATTTAGCCGGACTAGGCCGAGTTTAGCCTGGGACTAAGCCTGATTGAGCGCGATCGAACTGGATTGCGCGTATAAAACTGGATCAAGCGGGATGAAGCGGGATTCGGCTAATTTTCGAACGGCATGCCAGCGCCGATTCAGAAATGAACATCCCAAGCATTGCATCCTAGGCCGTCCATGCCCCGACTTCAGAAACACATGCGGCGTGCCAGCAGGGTATCCACAATCGACTCATCCCGAGTGCATGTGAGATGGTCAAGACAGAGCAGTGGATTAGAGGCTTCCTGCATGGGGTCCGAGTAACCAATGCAGGGGTCCGAGTAACCAATGCGTCGCAGATGCATCGGCGTTGCATCGGCGACCTCGGCGATGCACCGGTGACGTCGGCGTGGGTATACACGGGCTCCACATCGAGCCGCATCGTCGATGCATCGGCGATGCGGCGCAATCCTCCGACCCCATCCACTCGGACCCCACCCAGGGGGGCTTAGATGGACGCAGTACGAGCACGACTCGTGAGGATGAGCAGCGGTCGGATCATGCCCATGACCGGCCCCGCCCCCCCCGACCCCCGACCCCGGCCGCATAGATCCACATCCACCGCCTGCTGAGGTCCCCGAAGTGTGGTCCCCAAGGCGGTGGCTGGGGGGGGACCCAACACATCGATACCGCTACTCCGCGGACCCGTCCCGGGGTGCGTTCTGACCAGAAGTTCTCGGCGAATCCAGCCGTGGCGACGTGGGTCCACCAGGAGGCCCACAACGGCGAACATGGAGTGCATGGTAGCGGTATCGGTACTTCTTCCTCCCCTGAGTGATGGAGAAGTCCCCTCCTCGGAAGGGAGAGGTGGATGAGCAAAATGAGAAGGAAGAACGACGTGTGGCCGATTTGGAAGCCCTGAGCCAAACATTCTCGCTATCTCTTGGGAGGCGACTTTTCACTTCCGCCGCCTTCAGCCAGCCTTCCGCCAACTTCCTCCAGCGAAGCCGGCCTCGTTTTACTCCCGCCAGCCTCCGCTGAAGAAGAGATGCCAATTTCTTCGACCCTCGAAGTCGAAAGCCTTCCTGGAATGCCAAACATGTTGGACGCGCGAAATGGGTACGGAAACAAAGAGCACGATGCCCAACAACAAATGGTGTCACAAACCGACAGCGGCCCCTGTTGGGCAGGCGGCCGACTATCTCAAATGAGCAGCCAGCGGCGGCACCGACAGCGAGTCATGTCCTAAACGAACAAGAACTGCTGTCGGTGTTAGTCCCTGCTTTCCCGTAACAATTCAGTGCGTGCCGAGCCCTCAGATCCGACATTGCAAAAAGACATGCGACATAGCAAAAACATCGCGCCAAGAACCCTCGACCCCACATGCCCGCGTCAGGCTTCGAGCCAGATCGACCTGCAAGGGTCCCAGGACCCGAAACTGGGCGAACACGCCCGCCCTGAAAAAAAGGTGCAACGCCAGGATCTCCAGACCCCAGACGTCACGATGTCTTCACAACGTCGACCTCCCAAGGTCTCGACCCGTTCCCCAAGACCGGCGGGCTTTTCACCCGGAGTCGACCTTCCATGGCCCTGGAGGCCTGCAGGGGCCCCCGGAGGCCGAACACTGTGAACAACCTCCCGCCGCGACTTTTTCAGCGCGACGGACGGGGCCTGGGTCTGAGGGATAAAGGAGAGACGACGCGCGGAGAGGAGCCGCCCGGCGTCCTCGGAGGCGCGCCGTCGGAGAAGCAGGCCCCTCCCCGGGCCGAAACAGCTGTCAGGGGCGGCGCGGCGGCGCACGCGGCGGGCCGCGGCAGGAAGGGGGGGCGCAGGCCGTCCTGGGCCGCCTGGGGGCCTTCTCGGGCTGCCTGGAGCCCGAATGGAAAAGAGCCAAGGACTTTGTGGGCCCTGGAAACGGCAAGGCTGGTTTTTCACCGTTTCCAGAAAATGTCCCTTGAAAATGGAAACGGCAAAAAAAAGACGACCGGAAACGGCAAAAAAACAGCTCCAGGGTTGGAACCGGAGCCGGAACCAGTCAAAAAACGGCGACGGAACCGATAAAAAAACGGCGTCGGAACCGGCATCAAAAACAGCAAAACGGAACCGGTAAAAAAACGGCCCTGTCGTTTCCAGGGCCCACTGAGCCCCAGGAAGACACTTTTTCTGATACGCGGGCACGCGAAGCGGGTCGAACGCCGTGCAAGCAGGGGCAGGCCGTGCCACCAACGAACGCAAACGCAGAGAAGCGAGAAACGCCATGCACAGAGCGGGACGGAGCTCAGCGCGGCCAAATGGCGCGGACGGCGCCAAGGAAAACATAACTGACCTGCCGTCGCGCGAATATCAGCGCGGACCGACCGTCCCGGCATTCCTATAGGCCTACCACGACATGTTTTTAGAGCCCACAAATGTTCTAAGAAAACCAGCGGTGTTCTTAGAACATAATTGCCCTGTGTGCTACAACAAGACAGTCTCAGCCAGAAGTGTTCTGAGAACATCTCGTGCAAACTTCAGGAGGTTCTTAGAACATTCTTTGGTAGGCCCTATATAGGCAAGCTGGGCCGCTTCGCCGCCGCTTGAGACACGCAAGTGCAGGACTTTCTGTCTTTCTACAAATTGTGAAGGCCTCATGGCTGGTGCGGCCGGCCCAGAAGCACGGCGACGCCGACCACGCCGACGACCACGACGACTGAAAGGGGCCCAGAGAGACACACACACACAACTTCCGGATCCCCTCTATTGAAGGGGACCTAGGACACACAAATAAATACACACAAATAACAAGATTCCCAATATTTCCCCATGTGTTCTGGGTTTTTGTCTTCCCCCCAAACTCCCATATCTTTCCGCATTTTCCTGGGAGTCGACGGTTACTTGTGTCTGTGTGTTTTTTCCCCTTCTGATCTATGCTGGCAGATTCCCTGCATGTTCCCACCGCTTCCAGGGACAGCGGCGTTGAGGTGTGCTAAGGATTGCAAAACAACAAGGATTGAAATCCTGGGTTTTGCAATCCTCTGGTTTTTTTTGTGCAATCCTCAGTTTTTTTTTGCAATCCTGGGTTTTTTTTGCAATCCTGGGTTTTTTTGCAATCCTTCGTTTTTTTGTTTTTTTGTAATCCATGTTGTTTGGGGGGTTTTGTTGCAGTCCATGGTTCCCTCCTGCGTATTCGGGGCTGATTTGGTCATCTTCGGGGCCCTTGGGCCTCGTGGGGTGCGGCGGGGGGGGAGCACGAGGGAGGCAGCGGCGAGGGGAGGGAGCGGGGGGGCGGGCGGTAGGAAAGAGGGTGGGCCAGGATGAGGAGGGAGCGGCGAGGGGAGGGAGGGAGCGGCGAGGGGAGCGGCGAGGCGAGGGGAGCGGCGAGGGGAGGGAGGGAGCGGCGAGGGGAGGGAGGGAGCGGCGAGGGGAGGCAGCGGCGAGAGGAGGGAGCGGGGGGCGGGCGGTCGGAAAGGGGGTGGGCCAGGCTGAGGAGGAGCAGGGCGCCGCGGCGACAGCATCTGGAGACAGGGGGGAGGGGAGGGCTCTCGGGACGAGGGAGGCGCGGGGACAAGGGGGGAGGCCGTGGGGCACCCCCGGAGCCCCGCCATGCCCCAACCCGTGCCGAGGCCCGGGGTCCTTGCCCCTCCCGCTCGGGAGCCGGCGGTGCTCACATGGTGAACGAGACAGGTCGCGGCGAGCTTCGGCCACGACCAGGTCCTTCGGCCTGGGTCTGAGGAGCGGCCCGGGAAACGGAGCCCCTCCCGAGCCCAAAGGGGCCATGCGCTGGAGGCCTGCGGTGAGGGCAAAGCTGCGCTGGGGCCTTCAGCACGGTGTCGCACTGGGCCCCGTCGTGGTGTTGGGGCGGCGGTCTCGAAAGAGAGCCGAAGACCAGGATGCGGAGTGAAGAGGAGGAAGAGGAGGAGGAGGCGGAGGAGGAGGAGGGAGGAGGAAAAACGATAATGAACTGAACATAAGGAACATCAAAGTGGATGAGGAGTAAGGGAACGAGGGGAATACTGAGCATCATGGTGAGAAGAACGACGATGAGGAGCGGGCGAAGGAGCCGGGGGGAGGCCGAACGGCGAAGAGGGGGTGAAACAGGCAGCAGAGTGAGTTCGCTGGCTCATCGAACACGAGGAATGTTCGGTAAATCGTGCAGTGTGGTTGATCTGTCGCCGCGCCGCTGGTTCTAAACGCGCCCAAGGGATGACGCCGACACCACCAAACCCACAGCAAGCCCTGCGCCCCGCGCCCAAGTAGACGACGCCAACACCATGGCAAACCCACGGCGAAGCCGCCGCGTCCCAGGCAGCGTTTGCCCTGGTGCCCGCGGCGCCCTCCACAAGGCGCAGGGCCGCTCGTTGGAGCAAGCGGCGCGGCGACATTTGTGCTTTGATGCGATCCGCGCGAGCCGAGTGGAGTCCCAGGGCGTCTGCGGGCGAGACTCTTGGGCGGAACTGGACCACCAATTGGCACGCGTGCCGTGGCTCCTGCACAATCAAGGAGGGGGATGAGATGAGGAGGAGGAGGAGGAGGAGGAGGAAGAGGAGGAGGAGAAGGAGGAGGAGGAGGTGGAGGATGAGGATGAGGAGGAGAAGGAAGAGGAGGATGATGAGGAGCAGGTAGTGGAGGAGGATGCGGAGGAGGATGTGGAGGAGAAGGCGGAGGAGGGGACCTCTTGGGTCGCGGTGTGCGGTCGGCCGCTGCGCCGGCGCACCGTGCGCTCAGTTGCGGGACCAAGCAACCCTGTGAGTCACAGGGTTGCTCCGGACATCTGGATGCGCAGTGCGCCGGCACGGGCCCCCAGACGAGGGAACGCGGGCCGACTGAAACACCGCCACCCGAAAGTGCTAGCTCCACGCCGCTCTGAGCAAGCGGGCGGCGCCTGAGCGTCACAGGGTTGCTCGGGACATCTGGGTGCGCAGTGCGCCGGCGCAGACCCCCCGACGAGGGAGCCGACCGTCCACCGCATCGAGAAAGTGCCTGCTCCGCGCCGCTCCGAGCGAGCGGGCGGCACCTGAGCGTCACAGGGTTGCGGGGCACATCTGAGTGCGCAGTGCGTCCGCACAGGCCCCCAGAGTACGATAACGCTCCAATGGGCGGCCAAGAGCGCCCAAGAGTCCGCCAAGAGCGCGGATCCAGGCGTGCCAGGCCTCAAAATGATTCCAACATCGCCCCTAGTCTGGCCGCGATGCTCCGCTATCGCCCAAGGGGTGCCTCATGGTCTCCCAGAGGCCGTCGGCTAGCCCCTTCCGGAGGAAAGTTAAATTCGGCACGTCCCACACACAGATCGGGCCCCATGGGCCCCGATGCCTTTGCAAGGAACACCAATGCGGCACAATCTCCACGCACGTCGTGCCGCACGAACCCTCTGAGGCATTCAGCTAGCCCGTCAAGACTGGTAACAGAGCTTCAAACTGGTACACCGACCACGAAATGCGTGACCCACTGGCGCAAACAATGTCTAAGTTTGCCCCCCAAGGAGGCCCAGGAGAGCCCCAGCAACGCCAGCGCAACAGCCCGCGTCCGTGCGGCGAGCCGGGCCCACACCGCGCCTCTTCCTCACCCGCCGCCTCAAGTCCGCTGTTCCCCCCTCCTGCTGTTGCCTCCTCCCCCTCATCCTCGCCCTCCTGCTCTTCCTCCTCTGGTCTCCCTCTGCGCTCCTCAATCACCTGCTCGTGGCCTCGTCGTTGTCCTCCTCGCCCACCTCGTTCGCCTCATTGCTCTCCCCGGAGACCCACAGACCCGGGCAGACGGCCCCAAGACCGATCTAAACGGCCCCCACGCTTCCCACTGAATGGCACGATGGCCTGAAGCCCTCAAGAGGCCAATTCCTTCTGGCGAGGCGGAGGCCGCGAGGCCAGTGGGCTGCCGCCGCCCATGCCGGCGCGGCGTCGGCGAAGAGCCTGCGTTCTTGCTCAGGCATCGGCGCCAGCAGGCAGGAACGAGGGCAGGAGACGGGAAGCGAGCGCCGAAGAAGCGGGCGTGGGGGGCGCAGGATGAGCACGGCGGCCCAGTGGGGAAGGGAACTCTTCGCGACAAGCTCCACGCAGCACCTCCTCCCGCGCACCCCCCACATTCGCATGGGACGCACGAGGGCATATTAGAACGACGTGTCTTCCTCAGAGGCGCGCGTCCGACCCGAACATACATAGTACAACCATCTTGTAGCAGATCGTTTCTCGAGCGATGTGGCCAGAACGCGCCCGCCACGGGGCTGATCCTGCAAAATTTCTCGGCGCAAGCGACGCCCCCGGTTGCAGGCGCTCGCGGCAGTCCCCGCTTCAGCGCGGCGGGCCGAGGCCCGAACGCCTCGTGAATTCGAACGCGTGCTCGAGATAACTATATACAGTCGGGGCGTTGACCAAAGGAAACCTCGATCAGAAACGAGGCCCCTGTTTTCCATATGTTCAGCTTCGAATCCCCATCGAAAACCAGAGGAAAACCTGAAGCAAGCTGCAAAACAATTCAGGAACACGGAGCCCTTCCCTAACGAACAGGGTCCCTTCTTCAGCGCCCCGACTGCACTGCAGAGGAAACACAAGCGGCATCCACATACCCCTTCGGAAGTCCCGCGCGGATGTCTTGAATTGGCGCCGGAGCCCCCTGGCGGCGCCTTCAGCGCCGCCCCCGGCGCGCTCCGCGCGCCAGTGGAAGGGGTGTCCAGTGCCGATCCAAGAAATCGGCCCTGACCTCTGAACATTTGTGCTTCTGCCGCTGGGCCCTCTCCGGCAGCCAAAGGCCACAGCGAGGATGGCCAGAAGATGGCACCAGCATTCTGGGCATCCGGCCGGTTCCTCCTGCGGGCCATCGGGCGCGGACGCCGCTGGGCCTTGCCACGCGCAGGAAGGATTTGATAAAATAGAGGCCCCCGCGAAGAGTGGACTCCATCAGGCGGGAGAGCCCAGAATCGAATCGACAAGTAGGAGGATCGAATCGGATCGGCGGAAATCGGCAGCCAGGTCTGGAGAAGTCGAATCGGCAGAAATCGTCAGGCTAATAAGGCCTCCATTGAGCAACCAGAACCCAAGTCGAAATCCGAATCCGAATCGAACCTGAATCGAAATCTTTCGAAATCGAATCGAGCCGAGTCGGATGAGTCGAGATGAGCCCTGTCAGGTGCAGCATCCTCTCTTGGGTCGGTCGCCCCAAGAGGCATCCGGCGCCAGCCTTGCATCAAAAGGGCAGTCAAGCTTGGCACGCGGTTCCTTGCCTCAGGTCTCGAGGCTGAATGATCGAGGGGTCTCGCATGGAGCCTCCAGCGGTGATGGCGAATGAGTGAAGGAACTACAACATCTGCGCCGAAGAAAGCATGGCGGTCACTCAATGCCAATTGTCTGCGAGACATCGATCACATTTCATGATGGCGGTGCCAGCGATTCCAGAAGATGCCACTTCGGCGATCACACAAGAAAGCGTAAGCAACATATGGACCGGGAGCATGGGGCCGCTGATTGACCTGTTCTGTGGAATCAATGCGTTTGTCGGCTGGCAGGACCGAGACCTTGAGCACAGCAGCACTCTCAGAAATTCTGGGCAGCGTCGTCATCAACGTTCGGGGACCCCCGATGTAGGAGTCAGGCCGCGGCTTGCAACATGCCGCCACACCGAGATTCGCACATCGTGAATTCACCCGCGCGGGCTCTCCCATACGCGCGGCAGGAAGACAAGCGGGGGGGGGGGCCTGGGCGTATAACGTATAATTACAACTTCTTGCCGGAGGAGGGGTCCACCAGGTGCAAGCCGGTCGGGTAGACCGAGTCGTACAGCACGCCTCGGCGCGTGCCGAAGCTGGGCCAACACCAGCTCTCTGCACTGCTACAGCAGCCTGGCCGCGCCCCTCCTGGGAACGGAACTGGTCCACAGTGTCGGTGAACTTCCCGGCCGCTGCACGAACAGTGAGGGCGGAGGAGGAGTGGGGAGGGGAGGACGGGGGACGAGGAGGCGGGCAAGGAGAAAGAAAAGACAGGAAGATATGCTGAAGGCAGGCGGAGCCTGGTGATGACGAGCAGGGGCGGGATCGGCCCGAAGGGAATCTGCATGGCTTGAGCTGGGACCGACAGTCCCGGCATTCCTATAGTCCTACCGCGAAATTATCTTAGCACCAAGAACGTTCTAATACCAAAAACAATGTTCTTAGAACATGAAAGCGACTTGTTAAAACAAGACACACACTCCGCCAGAACTCTTCGAGAACATATCGTGGGAACCACAAAAGGTTCTCAGAACACTGTTTGGTAGGGCTGTAGGCGAGCCAGGACGCTTCGCCACTGCCTGCCTGGCGGCGGCCGCCTCTGCCGTTCGTCTCTCTGCTCGGCGCGTCGCGGCGGCGGCCCCAGCGACGCGCCGGGCCCTGCGAGAGCGGACGGCGTGCCGCTCCGCTCCGCGGCGCGGGAGGCTCGGGCGCAACTCGGGAGGGCACGGCGCGCCGAAGCGCGGCGGGCCAGAGCGAGCGGCGCGGCGTGCTGAGCCGAAGTTCCGAGCCCCCAAAGGCCAGTGCAGCAGGAACAAGGACAGGCGACACCAACACCAACAGGGCGAGGAGGTGCGCGGAGCAGAGGGGCGGTCTCCCTGGTGGTGTGGTCCCCCCCTCTCGCTCGAGACATCCCCAGTCTCCCGCTCGGGGAGGCATTGTGGATCTCCTCGCTGGAGGTGGGCCCCCTGGTGTTGTTGGTATCGTTTCTCCTCCCTCCGAGTGCAAGACGTCCGCGCACCTCGACGCCACAGCGCAAATCCCTGAGCCGGCGGCGTGCTGCGAGTCTGTGAGCCGTGCGGCCTCCCGCTGCAGCTCACTCCAACGATGGCTGAGGAGCAAGTCGGCTGCCTCACTGCCCGACCTGCCCAGGCCGCGCGCGCGGGGGGACCGTCAGCCTGGCCCGCGCTCGCCTCCTGCCGCGGATGCCCAGGCAAGGATCTGCCGTGCCTTACATAGAGAAGGAACGGCATATGCATAAACTTCTGGCGCTGCGCGAGGATTTCTTGGACCTACGCTGAGACCCCCTCCCTGGCGCGTGGAGCGCGCCAGGGCCGGCACCTGAGTCGCCGCCAGGGGGTCCTAGCGCGGATCCAAGAATCCGCGCGGAACGCTACTAATTCATGTTTATGTGGTGTTTTGTTTTTTCTTCACACAAGGCAACACAGGGCGTGCACAACGCCGGGAACATCTCACCCATCCCTTTCGCAACCGACCACTCGACGAAAGAGGAGGAGGAGGAGGAAGAGGACCAGGAGGAGGAGGGAGGAGGAGGGAGTCGGAGAAGGCGGCGAAATGGAGAAGAAGTCTGCCTGAACTTCAGAACTGCATCGCCATGCTTCTCGCCTTGCCGAGGTGCGACGCATTTGGGAGGAGGGAACGGACCACTGCAGATTACCAGCGCGGCCGGGCGAATGTGAAACCACAGACTGAGCCTCACTGGGCACACGCCTCAACGGTCTGGACGGCCAGCGCGTGCCAAATAAGTGAAACACCATCCACTCAAAATGGTCCCTCATGGTCCGCCGTGGGACGCGTCCCGAGCAGGAGAAGGAGGAGCGGGAGGAGGAGGAGAAGCCCAAGAATAGAGAGAGGAGAGGGGAAGGCTGATACGAAGATGCATCACGTCTCAGCCTTGCTGAGGCGTGATGCATGGCACGCTCTGGCAGAGGACGAGGGGCAGTGCACGGCACTGCGCGCTCGTACTCAACTTCATGGCCTCGGCCAAGGCACAAAAGAGCGAATGCAGCCCCTCGTCCATGGACTCGTGGCGATGGGCGCGCGCTCGGGGAGGATGCATCACTGCGTTCAGGCAACATCCTAACGTCCAGGACGAACGAGAGGAAGGGTTGGGGCGGAACGGACGACTTGGGCAAGCCCTCGCCCGCACGCCGCTGTGGGTGGGCCGCGGGGAGGAGGGCCTGCGACGGGGGTTGGGGAGCCACTCGGCTGGCCCTGGGGCTGGAGGTGGCGGAGGGCGGAGGAGCGGAGGAGCAGAAATGAATGAACGAATGCAGAGGCGCTTGAGGACGTCCACGTCAGAGGCGGGCTGCGGCAGCGGCTGGCGCGGAGGAGGAATGAGTGAATGAATGACAAGGCGCTCTGGGACGCCCTCGTAGAGAGGCGGGCAGCAGCGGCGGCTGGCGAACCCTAGCCCAGTCAGGAGGAGGAGGGGGAGGATGGGGAGGAGGAAGAGGAGAAGGAGGGGGGAGGAGGGGGAGGCGGGGGAGGAGGGGGAGGAGGAGGAGGAGGAAGAGGAGGGGGAGGGGGAGGAGGGGGAGGAGGAAGAGGAGGAGAAGGATGAGGGCAGGGGGAGGGGGCGACGGAGAGGGAAGGGGCGGGGGAGACGGCGTCCAGCCTCCGTATGCGTCGGGAAGACGTAAAGTTCGGGTTCGTGGGACTCGTGTTGACCTGACGGGGCCATCATGAAAATGACGAGACCCAGTCTGAAATTGGACGCGAGCTCTCGCTATAATAACACCCCACGAAAACTGGACCGTCACAATCCAGGACGCGCTCAGAACAAAAAAAAACATAGGCAAACCCGAGCTCTGGCGCACTCGAGCCTCACGCTTCCCTGAACTCGGCCAGGCGGCCCCCGCGAGGCCCCGCGAAGCCCGAGCGGGGGCGCGTGCGCCGCGCCGGGGGGCGCACCGCAGGTGCCGCACACCCAGGCCTCGTCGGGGTCGCCGTCGCAGGCGAGGCCTGCTCCCGCGCCCCTGCATCCCTGCCCGCGGGCCCCTCTTCCGTCCCGAGGAGGCAGGGGCGGAGAAGGCGGCTGAGCCCTCCCTGGGCGTCGTCAACCACAAGAAGTAAGCAGACCACCGCCACCACCACCAACAACAACAACAGCAGCAACAACAACACCAACACCAACAACAGCAGCAACAACAACACTAAACACATATCCAACAGCAGCAACAGCAACAGCAACAGCAACAGCAACAGCAACAGCAACAGCGACAACAACAACAACAACAACAACAACAACAACAACAACAACACCAACACCAACACCAACAACAACAACAATAACAACAACAACAACAACAACAACAACAACAACACCAACATCCATAGCAACAGCAACAGCACCAACAACACCATCAGCAACTACCAACAACGCCACCAGCAGCAGCACCAACAACAACGGCAGCACCACCACCACCAACAACAACAACAATAACAATACCAATACCAATAGCAACAACAGCACCGACAACAACAGCAACCGCAGCATGAACAACCAACACAGCACCAACAATCATGGCAGCAACAACAACAAGCAACCGACGGGCCCATGCCCTCCGAGGGTCTGCTCTTCTCGCGGGCCTGATCACGGTTAGGATCATGTTGTTCCCATCGTACTTCCAAGGACGCCGTCCTGAAAAAATCCAGACGTCGCATGTCTGGATATCCTCGGGCGCGCGCTGACCAGACCAGAACCTCGAAGCAAATCCAGTTGTGGCGACGAGGGCCGCCCAGGACGCCCCAGAACGGGAACAACGAGGGCCATGTTGCTCCCATCGTACTTCAGGACCACATCCCATAAAGAATTTCGAGCACCACGAAAAGTGTCAAAGGAGTGTCGCAACAGCGTCGAAACAGTGTCGGGCGAGTGTCTCCCGGGGCCCGACACGTGACAACCCTCGAGTTTCGGTGCTTTTTCTAGCGCTCGAAATTCTTTCTGGTGAACAAGGCTAAAATATGTTGGAGCATCATAACGGTAGGATCATGCTTGTTCTATCTATTGGAGATGACGCCCGCCCCCCCAGGCCAGACAACGTCACGATTCGCGACAGCGTCGTTTGGGGAATTTGCCATGGACAAAACATTCCCATACGGCGCCGGCAAGAACCGTGACGCGACTGGCCCCCTCCATTCCTCCCTGTCACGCCCGTTATCCCCAGGACAGCAACAAAAAAACGCCCCCCAGGAGTCAACTGCTGGGAGGTCCTCGTACAAACGAGCAGGAGCTGTTCAGCCTGATCAAGGGGCATCAAGCGGGATCAAGCGAGATGTAGCTCGGGATTGAGCTGGACTGTAGTGTGTTAGCCAGGGCGATGCCGGATTAGGCCTGTTTCGGGCCACGGATGTGCCAGCACCGATGCCGAAGTGAACCAACCATGACTTGTACTCGAACGAGGTGGAGAGGGAGGGGGAGATGAAACAGATCCGAGGCCACTGAGCGGTGTCGGCCTTGTCCGGGACACTGGAGCTAGGTCGGGCCTGCTCCCTCTGCAGGGGGATTTTGAGCGAGAAATGAAAATTACCCCCAGCATATCCCAAACATATACAACAAAAGTCAACAAATCGTCCCCAGGCTATTTTGTTTTTGAATTTCTCGAATATTCATCCTGTAGAGGGACAGGCCCGACTTAACACTGGAGGCCTCTGGACCTTGAGAGGCATCAGGGGACCGAGGGAGGGGAGAGAGGAGAGGAGGTTGGACGACGTAGGCGAAAGGGAGAGCGCGCCACACAGGCGGGAGGATGACGAGCACACGGTCTTCGACGATCCCCACCCCTCCTCCTCTATCTTTCCCTCCTCCTCCTCCTCCTCCTCCTCCTCCTCCTCCTCCTCCTCCTCCTCCTCCTCCTCCTCCTCCTCCTCCCCCTCCTCCCCCTCCTGCTCACCATACCCTCCCGTTCCTGCAGCTCGTGCCCCCTCCACCCCTCCTGGGCCTCCTCCTCCTGCTTCCTGGGCCTCCTCCTGCCCGGGGGTGCGTGAACTCTGGCGCGCGACCGCCAGATCCGAGGAGGAGGAGGAGGAGGAGGAGGAGGAGGAGGAGGGAGGAGGAGGAGGAGAGGAGGTCGGAGGAGGAGGAGGAGGAGGAGGAGGAGGAGGAGGAGGAGGAGGAGGAGGAGGAGGAGGAGGAGGAGGAGGAGGAGGAGGAGGAGGAGGAGTGCAGTGCCCGACTCCGTGGCGGAGCGCGCCGATGCGCCGCTCCACGCCCCCCCTCCAGCCCCGAGCCCGTGCCTCCTCGAGGGGAGGCGCGCGGCCTCCCCGCGGCGCCGGCTGCCGCCTCCACCTCCTCCCCGCTGCGGCCCCGCGGCCGTGGTGCCCTTTTCCGCCTCCCCTTCGGGTCGGGCGGGTCCCCCTCCACGGGGATCTCGGACGACGAAGCATGGAAGCCACCCCAACGATACTTGCATATTTTTCTATAAACAAACATCGCCCCCAGACTATGTTCTGACTATTTCTGGAGATCCCCCCTGTACAAGGACCTGCCCGACGACTTAGGCCTTCCTTCCTGCACGGCCCGCAACATGCCCCCGTCGCCTCCCCTCCCGACGGCAGCCTTCTTCTGCGCTCCCCTGGCCGTGCCGCAGAGCTCTCCCGCGCTTGCCTTCGCCCTGCTCTCCTCGGGCCCGGAGCCCTCCGACACGCCGACCACTTGCGGGAACCCTGCGAGCATCTCGAAACGCCTCCTTTCCAGAGAGAGAGAGAGAGAACCGTCGGCTTGGGGGGGAAGGGGCTGGGAGGATACGGGGCACGACTATGCCATGCACACGCTCGGCATACGTGATGATAGGGACGATCTGGCCATCTCTCCCAACGCCATTCTCCCAACCTGATACTTGTCTTTCTGCCCCTTGTCACAGACGGACTGACTAGCTTCAGGTCGGGCGTGTCCTCCTACAGGCGGATTTTGGACGACCTCCTACAGGCGGATTTTGGACGAAAAATGAATAATACCCTCAAAACTCCAAAACTATTCAAACATACAAAAAATCGTCCCCAGACTATGTTTTGACTACTTTGGAATATTCCCTCCTGTAGACGGACACGCCCGACGTAAGCCTTGTCACAGACGGACTGGCTGGCGCGCACCACGACCCAAAGGCCGGCCCGGGGCGGGGCGCGCGGCAGAGCCTCGGCTTCATCCACCATGCCTTCTCTCGTTCGTCCTCTCGCAACTTACTCTTAGGTCGGGCCTGTCCCCCTACAGGGGGATCTGGGAGAAAAATCAAAATTACCGAAAGAATACCCCAAACATGCTCAACAATAGTCAAACAACGGTCCCCATACTATTTTTTGACTAGTTTTGAATGTTTTTGCTGTAGAGGGACAGGCCCGATTCAAGGTTCCACTGGAAAAAAGAAATCACGTGGTGAATGTGCTCGTGGGATGTCGCGCCACCTCGACCGGGGTCGCTCTGCGCGTCTTCTTGTCCCCCCCCGTGGCCTTTTCTGGGTCTCCTTTTGAGCAGGGACCGACCGTCCCGGCATTCCTATTGCCCTACCACGAAATGTTCCTAGAACCCAGCAGTGTTCGAAGAACAAACACATTGTTCTTAGAACATTAACCCGATGTGTTAACACAAGACAGTCTCAGCTAGAACATGTTCTAAGAACTTATCGCGGACACCACGAACAGTTCTTAGAACATTGTTGGGTAGGGCTCTAGGCGAGCCAGGGCGCTTCGCCACTGCTTGATTCTTGTCCCCCCCCCGTGGCCTTTGTGGGTCTCCTTGTCCATGCCGCAGTGCTCTCCCTCGTTCTCCTTCATCTCCAAGCGGATGAAGCCGTCCTGCGCCGCCGGCCGGAGCGGTCGGGCAGGCAAGGCCTGGCATCTCTTGTTCGACCCTGCAGGGCGAACCAGGAGAGAAACGAGAGAGAGGAGAGGAAGGGAGGGAGGAGGAGGAGGAGGAAGAAGAAGAAGAAGAAGAGGAGGAGGAGGAAGAATAATAAGAGGAGGAGGATGAGGAGGAGGAGGAGGAAGAGGAGGACAAAGAGGAGGAGGAAGGGGAGGAGGAAGGGGGACGGGGGAGGGAGAAGCCCCCCCCCACCTCTCACCCTCCTCCTCTCGCCTACTCGTCCTCATCGCTCCTCCTCCTCCTCCTCCTCCTCCTCCTGCTCCTCCTCGTGGACCTCCTCCGGCTCCTCCTGTTCCCCCTCCAGCCTCCCCGTCTGCCTCCGCTGCCCCCTCCCGTCCCCGACCTCGAGCTCCTCCCTCTCCCCTTGCCTTGGGTCGGGCGTGTTCCCCTACAGGAGGAGCTTGGACGAAAAATTCAAAGTAGCCAGCAAAATGTTCCCAATTAGTCAAAAATGCAAACAAAATCGTCCCCCGATTTCTGTTTCGCTATTTTTGAACATTCCTCCTGTAGAGGGGCAGGCCCGCCATACCCCTTGTCCCTCTCCACCCCTTCCGAATACGCACTTCCAGCCCCTGGTTGGGGCCCACGACCAGGCCAGGCAGAACGCAGCGGGCGGCGCTCGCCGGTGGTTTCGATGTCTGCCCGCGACAGAGAGAGAAAGAGAAAGAGAGAGAGAGAGAGATACAGATAGAGATAATTAGAGCGAGAGAGAGAGAGAGAAAGGAAGAGCGAGAGAGAGAGACAGACAGAGAGAGAGCGCGCGATTCACTGGCGCCTGGGTGGGAAACGTCACCCGACGGGTCGACAGCAAAGGGGACCCCCTCCTCAGCATCGCAAGCACCCGTCGAACCAGACATCGCCCCCTCACAGAACCACCACCACCACCCCGCCCCACGAAAGTGAGGGGGGGAGTATCTAAACAGACACACACGAGGGCGACGACGACGACTACGACGACGACGAGGGCGACGACGCCGACGCCAACGTTGAGTCCAACGAGGGCGACTACGCCGAAGTCAAGGACGAGGGCGACGACAACGACGAAAGCGTAAACGACGACGACGATGCGGACGACGACGGCGACGGTGAAGATTCTACAGGCTTACGCCACATCCGCCGACCTCTTGTATTCCTTGTTCGCTCAGATATCGCTTCCTTCTCTATCTCCCTTCCCCAGGGGCTCTCGGGGGGTCCCTGGTGCCTCTGTGGGGGATGAGGCGGAGGAGGGGGAATATAAATAGATGGAGGAAGGTGAGGATGAGGAAAAGGCGTCGAGCGGACTCCGGTAGGGGTCCAGGGATTCATTTCGAGTGGATGTCGTCTTCACCCCCCTCTGGTTTTCGGGGGTCCTGTCCGGCGCAAGGAGGACGTCTACAGCCCCAGGGCCGACCTTCCTACCGAATCGGATGCATCTCTTCCTCCTCCTCCTCCTTCTCCTCCTCCTCCTCCTTCTCCTTCTCCTCCGCCTTCTCCTCCGCCGACATTATTCTCCTACTCCTCCTTCTCCTCCTTCACGTGAGGAAGAAGATGAGAATGCGTTTGACCCCTTGTTTTCTATGCAGTGGTGTGTGTGTGGTTAGATCTTGCTGATGAGGTCCGTCCGGGACCTGCCGGGGTAGTCCGTTGTCGGCGTGTGAGTCCTTGTTCTGGCTTGTGGGGGCGGAGACTCTGGTACGCCTGGAGGCCGACAAGGGGTCGGCCGATATAAATGGTCATTGGCCCATCTTGGGCGTCTTGGAGCGATCATTCGGCGTTTTTTTTGCTCTCTGGGGCCGTCTGGGGGGAGTCTTGGGAGGCTCCAAGCCGAGCTTGGGCAGGCCAGGCGGGGCCTCTTCGGGCTTCTTGGGGGCTTCGTGGGCCCCTCTTGGGAGCGTCTTGGAGCGGAAGGCTCAGAATTTCGGTTCGCCCCCCTCCCCTGTTGGGCCACTCTTGGTGCCGACTTCGAGCTCTCTTGGGCCTTCTTGGGCGCCTCTTGGGTTGTCCTGGCGCTGGCTTGGGCCCTTTGGGGAGCCTCTTGGGCCCTCTCAGTGTCCCCTTGGGGCGGTCTTAGAGGCCTCGTGGGCCGTTTGCAGCGCCGTGAAGGCCGAAGAGGCGTATATGCCAAAAAGATACGTTTTCCCATAGGAATGGTACGAGTTTGGCCCTTTGGGCCTCTCTTCACAAGCCTGTTAGAGGCCTCTTGGAGCGTCTTGGCGGCCTCTTGGGTCGTCTAGGGCCAATTTTGGGCGTCTTGGAGCGATCAGTCGGCATTTTTGTTGCTCTCTTTGGCCGTCTGGGGGGAGTCTTGGGAGGCTCCAAGCCGAGCTCGGGCAGGCCAGACCGCCCTGGTGGACTTCGGTCCGGGGTCGAAGTGGGCGAGGAGGGGGGGTCAAATCGCCGGTTTGGGGTCCCCGTGGGGGGCTTATGGGGGGGGACAATCTCACACGCCTAAGGACCCAGGGTCGGCGGATGACGGGAAGCGCGTACGAGGAACGAGGAGCGTGGACCGTTTTTTTTCAAAGAATGACGGGAAGCGTCTTCGAGGTACGAGAAGCAAGCGGGACGTTCTGGCTGAATCCTTGAGTAAATATATATATATATATATATATATATATATATCTTTATATCTATGGGTTGCCGCGCCGCACGGGGCTTTTCATTGGCGGATTCCCCAAAATGGCCATTTCGCTCGAGACATCCTCGAAAAATCGAGGTGTTGGAGGCTATCGCTTAAGACGTCTTATGTTAAAAATGACGGTTTCGCTCGAGACATCCTCAAAAAATCGGGATGTTGAAAAATATCAAAAAATTTTGTTATGCATGAAAAATGAGCGTTTCGCTCGAGACATCCTCGAAAAAATGAGATGCCGACAGAGGTGTTTTAGAACCTCTTATGTTAAAAATGACGTTTTCGCTCGGGACGTCCTCAGAAAATGAGCAGGTGGTCTGCCGTGCTCCCGTGTGGAGCACGGCAGACCACCTGCATTTCGCTCGAGACATCCTCAAAAAATCGAGGTGTGGTCTGCCGTGCTCCTGTGTGGTCTGCCGTGCTCCTGTGGTCTGCCGTGCTCCCCACAGGAGCACGGCAGACCGCGCGTAGGAACCGAGAGGAGCACGGCAGACCAAGACGAGGAGCACGGCAGACCAGGCTTAGGAACCGAGAGGAGCACGGCAGACCAAGACGAGGAGCACGGCAGACCAGGCACCAAGAGCGCCCTCAAGACGACGGAAAGGATGACCAAGACGAGGAGCACGGCAGACCAAGACGAGGAGCACGGCAGACTATGCCCTAAGAGTGCCCTCAAGACGGCCGAACAAGGGCAGACCCCATAGGAGCACGGCAGACCACAGAAGAGCACGGCAGACCAACAGGAGCACGGCAGACCACACAAGAGCACGGCAGGCCACACAGGAGCACGGCAGACCACACAGGAGCACGGCAGACCACAAAGGAGCACGGCAGACCACACAAGAGCACGGCAGACCCCACAAGAGCACGGCAGACCCCACAGGAGCACGGCAGACCCCACAGGAGCACGGCAGAGCAGACCCAAAAGGAGCACGGCAGACCACACAGGAGCAAGGCAAACCACAGGAGCACGGCAGACCACACAGGAGCACGGCAGACCCCACAGTAGCAAGGCAGACCCCAAAGGAGCACGGCAGACCACCGGAGCACGGCAGACCACACAGGAGTACGGCAGACCCCACATGAGCACGGCAAATCCCAAATGAGCACGGCAGACCACAAGAGCACGGCAGACCACACAGGAGCACGGCAGACTCCACAGGAGCACGGCAGACCACAAAGGAGCACGGCAGACCACACAGGAGCCCGGCAGACGCCACAGGAGCACGGCAGACGCCACAGGAGCACGGCGGAACCCACAGGAGCACGGCAGACCGCGCGCGGGTACAACATAAACGCGCCTTTTTGTTGTACCCCGAACGCCGCTGGCGTTTCCCCAACAGGAGCACGGCAGATCTCACAGGCGCGCGGCAGACCCCAAATGAGCACGGCCGACCACAGGAGCACGGCAGACCCCAAATGAGTACGGCAGACCCCAAAAGAGCACCGTAGACGCCTCAGGAGCACGGCTGACCACACAGGAGCACGGCAGACCACACAGGAGCGCGGCAAACCACAAAGGAGCAAGGCAGACCCCAAATGAGCACGGCAGTCCACACGTTCGCACGGCAGACCGCACAGGAGCACGGCAGACCGCACATGAGCACGGCAGACCAAGAAGGAGCACGGCAGACCACACAGGAGCACGGCAGACCACACAGGAGCACGGCAGACCACACAGGACACGGCAGACCCCACGGGAGCACGGCAGACCACACAGGAGCACGGCAAACCACACAAGAGCACGGCAGACCATACAGGAGCACGCCAGACCACACAGGAGCACGGCAGACCACACGTTCGCACGGCAAACTCCACAGGAGCACGGCAGACCCCAAAGGAGCACGGCAGACCACAGGAGCACGGAAGACCGCACAGGAGCACGGCAGACCACACAGGAGCACGGCAAACCAAGAAGGAGCACGGCAGACCACAGGAGCACCGCAGACGCCACAGAAGCACGGCAGATCGTCGTCGTCGTCATCGTCGTCGTCGTCGTCTTCGTCAATAACGATCTCGAAAATTACGACAAAAAACGATGACAGAAAACGACCACAAACATAACACAAAAACCAACCGAACACGGAATCCAACAACAAAAAAACAATCAGAAAAACGACCGCAATCATAAAATGATAACGACGGCGACAGCGAGAACGGCAACAGCGGACGATTATAATGAAAACGACGACCACGACAAAGGAAAGGCACGCGACGACGACGACGGACAAACAAAAGACAAGACAGGCTGGAACAGAAAAAGTAGGCTGGGCGACAACGGGTGGGGGCCCGCGTGGCCGAGAGAAAAGCACGGTGTCGACACCA